TCTGTCGTGAGTAACATGCAGACATGAGCCCATAATAAGACGTATTACTGCTAGCTTTGTCATTCCCTTTGCGTGGCTTGTGATTAATTGAAAAGAAATTTAGCTAATTGATTTCTGCACTTTCCAGGGAATAATTTTCATGAACGCAACATAGATCAGGATAGATAGAGAAGCAGACAGAACAACTAACATAGTTGTGTTCCTGACAATAAGGAGAAGGACAAGACGGTAGTGATTCCCTGTAAAATAATCGTCTGTGTGTTCTTATGTCCACAGACATGTGTGTGTGTGTGAGTGCGTGCATGTGCGTGTGTGTGTGTTTTTGTCACATTGACACGACCTCTGTAATTCCCTCTCCAGATGATTTCTCATAAATAACTAAACACTATGCAAAAGCTGCACCTTAGGGAGACTGTCGATATGGGCTTCCATGTCTGTGGGCCAAGAATAACTACCTGTCAAAGCCTCTTGTATTTCATGTGCGTGAACACGTTAATGCAGATATACGGTTTGGCTTGAAAATACAGCTCACAGCTCCTCGTGTTATTGTAAAACCAACATATTTTTGCCTGCGGTGTTGCACCTGTTCCACATAGCATCAGGGAGACATAAATAAATACCTCATTAACCCCTATTGCTCATTCCTTCACACACTCTACTTATATTTGTTTCTTTTGATTTATTTTTTGTTCAATAGAGGTTCCAGGTTTACGTAGAGTTGCATTAGTAACCACAGCCACCGGATGATTTATTCAGCAAGTTGTGTGGTCCTGAGACTGTGCAGCTTTTCACTGGTAGCGGTTGTCCTATTGATCTCTTCTAGTGTGAGGATCCATAAAGGACACACTAACCTGTTTCTGCTGGGCTAAGAGTCTTATGCATCTTGCCCTGATGTATCAACCCAGGAGAAAATGTGCCCTCTTTTATACACAGTGTCTGTTCTCACCTGTTGTGGGTTAAGGTTTGTTTTTGTTATGATTAAATGAGAATTTCGTGAAAGATATTCATTTTGATGAGCATTTTTATGTAAGTTATTGAGGTTGAGTAACAAAGCCTCATATATGATACTTCAAGGAAATCTGCAATTTTGGTAATTATCAGTGATGCACTGATATGAAAAATTGACAAATATTAATATCTGGCATTAATATATCTGTTATGGCCAATAACTGACACTTACCAATATTATACTTACATACACAGGGCTTGAAATTCACTTTAGAAAATAGGGGGACGTCCCCCCTCACCTGTCTGTGGGGGATTTATACATTTTGTGTGTGTATGTGTGTGTGTGGGGGTGGGGGGTGGGGGGGGTATTGAACATGACTGCAGGTCTTATGTTGTGCCAATCATACTTCACATTAGGGCTGAGCGATACGGCCTAAAGTTAAAATCACGATATATTGAGGATTTCACCTCAATAGCGATAAATGGATGATAACTACAGGTATGCACAGAAACAAAAGTTGTCCTCTGGATGGGGCTGTCACATCTATTACGTTGAGTCACATTTTTATGTGACTCAAGGGGCTACAGCTTCTTAAAGGGACACGAACGTTGCCAACCTACACACTTCTTTTCATTTTGTTTTATTATCAGATTTATTGACATGTTTATGTTTATTTATTTAGCAGACGCTTTTATCCAAAGCGACTTACAATCTATAACCTATAGGGCATGTTGTGATCTGTGGGGGAAACCGGAGGAAACCCACGCATGCATGGGGAGAACACGCAACTCCACGCAGAAAGGCCGCAGCTGAGTTTCGAACCTGCGACCTTCGTGCTGCGAGGCAGCAGTGCTAACCACTGCGCCATCATGCAGCCCACTGACATGTGAACAATTATCACAAGAGTCAGAAATTTCGATAACGATAAATTTTCGATGTATTGCCCAGCCCTACCTCCCGTTTATATGCAGCTTTCACTTGTCTCCTGCGTTGTAATTGTTGCTCTCTGTTGTGCCTTTCTTTTTATGATCTCTGCGAGATCTCTTTCCTCAATACGGCTGAAGTTAAAGGAAAAAATATTTGTAGGGAAGTACAATTTTTTAGGAACTACTTGTGAGATTAACGACTGACCTTTACGTTGCTATTCTTACCTCAGATTGATGAATTTATTAACTTTTTTAAATCTTTTCTAGTGGTGATCATAGCTACAGTGGGGCAAAAAAGTATTTAGTCAGCCACCGATTGTGCAAGTTCTCCCATGTAAAATGATGACAGAGGTCAGTAATTTTCATCATAGGTACACTTCAACTGTGAGAGACAGAATGTGAAAAAAAATCCATGAATTCACATGGCAGGATTTTTTAAGAATTTATTTGTAAATCAGGGTGGAAAATAAGTATTTGGTCAATAACAAAAATTCAACTCAGTACTTTGTAACATAACCTTTGTTGGCAATAACAGAGGTCAAACGATTACTATAGGTCTTTACCAGGTTTGCACACACAGTAGCTGGTATTTTGGCCCATTCCTCCATGCAGATCTTCTCGAGAGCAGTGATGTTTTGGGGCTGTCGCCGAGCAACACGGACTTTCAACTCCCTCCACATATTTTCTATGGGGTTGAGGTCTGGAGACTGGCTAGGCCACTCCAGGACTTTCAAATGCTTCTTACGGAAACACTCCTTTGTTGCCCGGGTGGTGTGTTTGGTATCATTGTCGTGTTGGAAGACCCAGCCACGTTTCATCTTCAAAGCTCTCACTGATGGAAGGAGGTTTTGGCTCAGAATCTCACGATACATGGCCCCATTCATTCTGTCCTTAACACGGATCAGTCGTCCTGCCCCCTTAGCAGAAAAACAGCCCCAAAGCATGATGTTCCCACCCCCGTGCTTCACAGTAGGTATGGTGTTCTTGGGATGCAACTCAGTATTCTTCTTCCTCCAAACACGTCAAGTTGAGTTTATACCAAAAAGTTCTACTTTGGTTTCATCTGACCACATGACATTCTCCCAATCCTCTGCTGTATCATCCATGTGCTCTCTGGCAAACTTCAGACGGGCCTGGACATGCACTGGCTTCAGCAGCGGAACACGTCTGGCACTGCAGGATTTGATTCCCTGCCGTTGTAGTGTGTTACTGATGGTGACCTTTGTTACTGTGGTCCCAGCTCTCTACAGGTCATTCACCAGGTCCCCCCCGTGTGGTTCTGGGATTCTTGCTCACCGTTCTCATGATCATTTTGACCCCACGGGATGAGATCTTGCGTGGAGCCCCAGATCAAGGGAGATTATCAGTGGTCTTGTATGTCTTCCATTTTCTGATAATTGCTCCCACAGTTGATTTTTTCACATAAGCTGCTTGCCTATTGTAGATTCACTCTTCCCAGTCTGGTGCAGGTCTACAATTCTTTTCCTGGTGTCCTTCGAAAGCTCTTTGGTCTTGGCCATAGTGGAGTTTGGAGTCTGACTGTTTGAGGCTGTGGACAGGTGTCTTTTATACAGATAATGAGTTCAAACAGGTGCCATTAATACAGGTAACCAGTGGAGGACAGAAAAGCTTCTTAAAGAAGACGTTACAGGTCTGTGAGAGCCAGAGATTTTCCTTGTTTGAAGTGACCAAATACTTATTTTCCACCCTGATTTACAAATAAATTCTTTAAAAATCTTGCCATGTGAGTTCATGGATTTTTTTTCACAATCTGTCTCTCACAGTTGAAGTGTACCTATGATGTAAATTACTGACCTCTGTCATCATTTTTAGTGGGAGAACTTGCACAATCGGTGGCTGACTAAATACTTTTTTGCCCCACTGTACATCTGTATCTCTTTTCTTTTGGCTCCATGCTCCAGTGTTTCCTTTTGTTGCCTCCTACACAGCATCTTTCTCCATAGGAAGAACTTTGTTGAAATATAAAAATCATTTAAAAAAATAATAAACACTCACTTGAGCTGCCTTTGCTAAACTGGAATTAGAGATATTCTAAACCATTTACATTGCAGGAATTTGTTGTCCAACTCCCAGGATTGCATCTTTAATCTTTTTGTGCTTCTTTATTTCTTGTCTCCATCCTCCCCTTTCTCTGTCTTCTGTTTTTTAATCTCTTCTTTTGTCTGATTTTTTTTTTTATCTAAATTTTCACAAAGAGTTTCTGCTGACTTGGCATCAAAAATGATCTCAACTATATACATTTATTGTTAGCTCTTTCAGAGACATCAGAGTAACATACTTTTGGAGGGTTATTCTCCCTTATGCCCTGTTTACTACTGACGTTACTGACGCTACCACTTCGAAAGTCCAATGTTTAATAAGTTGTCGCTGGGCCAATTCCTCTGGATGACCACAGGCATGTAAATCACCCTCACATTCACAGTTTTTTGTCATGAATCTATTCACAACAGAAGATAAGTCTAAGACGGCCAAAAACATGCAGGCTTAAATAACATAAATGTGTAATAATAGCTACTTATATTGTAAATTGATATTATGTAGTGGTATTATCCAACATCTGTCTAGCCCTAATTATAAAGAACTTTTCAGCACAGCTGTAACTGTGCTCTTGACAACCTTAATAGAGTTCCTAAAAGTGCAATCTGAGATCTAGAAATGACTACCAGAAAGCTACCCCTCCTCACCCTACAACAAGCTCTGATTGAGTCAAACAGCATGGCCCTCCAGTGTCCTGGAGCTGATTCTCAGGGGTCCCGCTAAGAGGCTAGTGGAGGCAAATGCCCTCTAAGCCGCATTAGCGCTCCCAGCTGCTCGTGTGGCCTTCAGTGATAACCACGGCATGAAGCAAACACACGCACCGTTTCTTATCGTTTGCCTGTCTAAGGAAAAATAAAGAAAGAAATTGTGAAGTCGACCCATGTTTCTGAACATTTATGCTAAATCTCTCCACCTGGCTAAAACACCAGGCACTGCAGACACTTGTTTACTTTGCAAAGTATTAAAGCAGCAGAAGCTTGGTTACCATATCTTTGATGTGTGGGTTTGTGCATTTCTTTATCAAATAATGAATGTGTGTGTGTGTGTGTGTGTTTGTGTGTGTGCAGATCACAACAGTGGACAGATTCCAGGGTCAGCAGAACGACTACATCATCCTGTCGCTAGTTCGTACCAAAGCTGTGGGACACCTAAGGTGATTATTTCCATGCATGCCAAGCAGAAAAATGTACCCAATACAAAACCACTCCTGGCAGCTATTGCACTATAAAGTTCTAGTCTAATATAAACATCCTAAAGGGAAGAGAGACAACAGAAACGGCAATACTTAATCCTCCGGAGACGACGTCTCTGGCGAGACTTCTTTGTTATTACCTGATAAAGTTGAACAGTAGAGGTTCCCTTATCCCACCTCCTCACACTTCTTTCTTCACTCCTCTCAACTGATTTGTGGTCAAACAGCCGTTCACACTCCTGCCACCGATTCTCAATTAGCTCTTTACACTTTATTTGCCTGTTTTTATCATCGGAGAGTTGAAGCTGGACTCATCCGGGGTGCTTTAATGTGACACTGGCTGCTAACCGGGATGGGCTTTAGCTGCTCTGTGATTTGGACTGCTCACAGCTTCATCACAGCAATGGACAGCTCACAAATTGAAACTCTAGTGCAGATAATAAGCAATTGTAGCTTCAAGTAGGCTGCCAAACCCTCAGGATGTTACTGAAAGAAGATAGCCACCAAAAGTGGTAGTTTCTCTTGCTGGCCTGTCCGTGATTATCCCGCCTCCCCCACCTTATTGTTTTGCTGTTTGGTTCATAGCCATGCATCAGTATGGTTTTTTTTTCTGTTCTCTAAAGTTAAAACTTCTGACCACATTGAACATCAAAACCCCCAAACCCCAGTTTTTAATTTCAGCCTTTCCATAAATATTCAAATCTTCAGCCAGAAATTAGAGCATGTGCATTTTTTTTCTTCCACATGAGAATATCTGAATGAAACTTTGATATAAGTTGTGTTCTGTTTGGTAAGCCTGAGGGTTTTACATTGTTCATAAACACTCTTTCAACCCAATTTCATCGTTTTCATCCTTTAGCTACCGGTATTTGTGTGTGTCTGTTGGCTCTTTCTGAAACATAATGGAATTTCATCAGATTCAACCCAAAAATTGTTGCAACTAAATGAAAATTAGATAAAGAATCGTTTTAAAAATGGAATTTAAAGTTTTCTAAGGAAAAAGAGAAGCTTAAACTCATTCAGATTTCTTACTCAACTCCATCAGTGACAACTTTCATGGTTGTCATTGGTTCTTCTTACATAACTGTTGCATCACGCCGCAGCACAGGCAGCTACAGTTAGCTCACCTTTACTCATGCTAGATGAAGCTAACACACTAGAGGACTCCCATCCTGATGTGTGCCTTCTAGGAGTTTACACAGAAGTCACGGTCTGGTTCTGAAGTCATAGAAGGATCCTTTTGTCAAACTAGTTTTTCAAACATTGACTGTTGTGACCAACCGAATGCCTTCTGGTCTGTAATATTGGTTCAAACCTTCTCCTGTCAGTTGTGCATTCGTGTGTCCGCGAATGATCGTGGATTTTCCCTTTTTCCATACAACTCGTATGTGACATCAAAACACGTCTGCAACATTTACTGTTAAAGCATTATCACCCTGGTTTTATTGGTGAAATCATAAAAGTATCTAACTGAAATGTTTGTACATGTTTTAGTTTCTTTCTAAAACAAATAGTCTTTATTGCACACATTGCAACACAAATGCTGTTACTTTGGTTTTCTTAGTGCATTTTTCTTTGAAGGGCCTCTAAAACAAATGATTGCATCATTTAACTTAATCCCCAACTAACACTGACTCAAGTAACGTCCCTAGAGGCGTTGCATAAGGCTCTAGCACAACTCCATTTTTCTGCTTTCTGGCATTTTGTGTGTAGGTTACCTCAAACCTCTGAACAGGGATTCTCATATACGTAGCTTTTTCTATTTCTGATTTCATTTGCTCATAACACGGATAAATCTGAATGGTCTGCTGATGGCTCATGGGAAATTGTGCTGTCTACTGTTTCTTTTCCTGACTGGAGTCCCCGTGGTCTGCTGCTGACTTAACCTCTCAAACCCTTCTCCTGCCTACCCTGGTCCTGCATCTCTCCTTGTGGCAATGTGTTGCCACGGCAACCACAGGGGACACAGCTGACCATATGATAAAGCTAACCCCTGTTTTGACAGCTGAAGCATTCTTGCTGATGCACGCTGACACGTTCCAATACGAGATCACACACTTTGGCAGAGAAGCACAGAGCTAGACCTGCACTCACACACACACACACACACACACACACACACACACACACACACACACACACTAATGGTATCTGTCTGCTTTGCCCCATCACATGGGCATCCCTTGGTGGTGCCATGACCACCAACGATTCCTGCTTCCTGATTGGTCAATGTCCTCCACAGCTCCGTTCTCATTGGTTTGACTCTTTTGTTTTGTTTTTCAGTAGAAACGGGTTTCCTTCTAATTCCACTTTTTGTCTTGAAAGTACACATTTGCTCATTAATCTTCACAAAAAGCTGCAGCTCATGTTAGCTTACCCTACTCCGACTCCTTAGAGGCCATTTTTGATTGCATATTCATGAAACGTGTGTGTTGCTAGGATTAGTCCTCCTAATCTCTTGAGTTATTCACATAGACTGTATTTCTCACGCCTTTGGCTGCATTTCACAAATTAGAGTTGATTTGTATATGTTTGAAAATTCTATGATTTGGTGTCGTTATTTGATATTTGCAGCTACTGCTAGTTGAAAGAACAAAGATTGGTTTGTGAATTTTAGATTTTATACAGTTGGCGTCTATCTACAGCGAACATAGCTTATCACTGAGCTTAAATTTTGGCTCGTGCTCACATTTATAGCTTTTTAAAAGACATCTTTTGGTTTTCTGCTGCATTCTTCGCCAGCAGAGTAAACAACCGCAACAGGATTCTTCCTGTTCTTATAGAAATTACTCTCCTGTCCCTCCTAATCTCTTAATTACCTTTGAGAGCAAATAAAAGTAACCTAAATCTGCCCCTTCCTCTTTGTCCCACTTCCCCCTTTTTTAATCGTTGCTTATCTTTGTCTTCTTCCATATTTGTCCCACTCAACTAGTCCTGCTTATCCTCCTCTAAACCTCCCTCCTACACCGAACTCATCTTTGCTTGTTCGTGTTTATCCTTTCACCGTGACGCCAGCTTTTGTTTTGTTGCCCCTACACAGGTTTTTCTTCCACAGCTTTCCCTCCTTCCCACTCACGTCTTTGAATCTTTTCCCCCCTTTTGTACCAAAGGAAAGTAGAAAAAAAAACAACTTCAACATTTATCGTTCTCCACAGGGATGTGAGGCGTCTGGTGGTGGCCATGTCAAGGGCCAGGTTGGGTCTCTACATCTTTGCCCGAGTGTCTCTGTTCCAGAACTGTTTCGAGCTGACTCCAGTCTTCAACCAGCTCACTGCCAGACCGCTGCAGCTCCACATTCGACCACACGAGTACTACAACCAGGAGCAGCATGTGCGTCAAAGCACACACACACACACACACACACACACACACACACACACACACACACACACACACACACACACACACACACACACACACACACACACACACACACACACACACACACTCACACACACACACACACACACACACACACACACACACACAATTTCAATTCAAGTTCCTCGTATTTGAATTGTGTGTCAGTGTGATGAGAAAAAGAAGCAGTCTCAAAGTTATGTCTACCGTTATAACTTGGTATAAATTTAGTTTTGATCAGAAACCGTCTCGTATAAACGAGAAAAGCTCTAACAGCAAAATGGCAACGTATGTTGTGGCGTTCTGATCCAAATGAGCAGGGAAGATGTTCTTTGTGTATGTGAGCTAAAGCAGCTGCAGTGGGTGGAGCCTGATTATTATTAACATTGACGTTGGTTCCTGATCACACGTTTGTGTCGTAGGACCAGAAGCGCCCTATTTAGGGACACCTGTGCAATGTCATTTATACCCTAAAGGTCACACGCAACAGAAACGCATCAATTTTTCCTCGGATCTCTCTTCTTTACTTCCTCACCTACATTGGACTTTCTTTATTATTCTTCCCAGTGTTGAAGACAAATACACACACAGACCTTGATTTGTTTGGTATTTTCAGGTAACACAAACCTGGCTATGGTAGAGACAAAACCTTTTTCCCAAGTCCATCCAGACCAGCGTGGCACGACTTGTGTCTGGTCACTGTATTGTGTCTATAATACCCCGCAGCCTCTGACACATCCTCTGACTCTCAAGTGGTCATCCCCATGAGGGACAGCTCTATTGGGCACACACATGTGTCCCCCTGCTTATCACATCCACCTAGAGTCAGTATACGTCACCTGCGAACACACAGATGCAGAAGAAAAGTAAGATTTTGTCTGACGACACAACGGGAACTCTCGTGGGCTTGTTATCTGGACGGTTTTGTCTGAATAGAAACTGTTTGGGTTAATTTGTAAAACTAAATGCATCACGTTTGGAAATGAATCAAAAGGTTTGACTGATAGTTTTTACTGCTGTTAAGTTGTATAGTAGTAAAGCTTTCAGTCTCATTGACTTTGACACGAAGCCCACAGGGCGTCTGCGAGCACCTCGCCTGGATTTACCATCAGCAGCTTAGCTGAATGTTCCTCTCTTCAGTTTAGGCTGCAGGACTCTGTCTGCATACTGATGCCATCAAATTACTGACTCTGCAGCCTAAACTGCATTTGATCAGTGTGCAAGTAGCAAAAGCTGGAGGGAAATATTAGCTTACGAATAACAAGGCAGTAGCAGCAGGAAAGGAAGTTTTAATCTCCTCCCAACATTTAGCCCTAAATCAGTGCTGCCCCAGATGGTGCCTGAATTAATCAACTCTAATGTGAATGATATTATTTTCCTTTTTGTCTTATTCTGGATTCTCTAATTGTTCCTTTATTTTATTTATTTTTTTACTTTTCTCTTCAGAGAGATGAGCAGCCTGACCGGATTGTGAATAACATGCCGGAGATGGCTAACCTTGTGTACAACATGTACATGCACATGATCCAGACCTCCCAGAAGTACAAACAGGTAAAACAGCAGATAAAACAGCATATTTAAGGCTTTCTTCATTTAAAAATTGATAAATCAATGAACAAATGTACCTTTAATTGTGGATAATTATCTAATAAAAGCTAAATTGGTTTGAGATGAGTAAATTTACTAATTACATATCTATCTGTTTTGTGTCTAGATACATTTTTTTAAATAACTGAAGGAATTTTAAAAAAAATGTTCCTAAGGAGCAAATATTTGATTTTATTATAACACAACAAAACATGATCATATTTATACCTAAAATTCATGGAAAAAAATACTTTGTTTTTGTTTCCTTCAACTAATGCAGCTAAATATCACCTCAGACTTAGATGCTAAATATTGTGAAGTTTGATCAAAACACCTACTAGAGACTTTGTGAACATTTTCCTTTAATGTTTGAAATTTTTTATGCAGAAACATGTTTTAATCCTTTTTTTGTGTAACTTCTCAACAGCAGCAGCAGCAGCAGAAACTGGCAACGCCTCCCCAACAAACTCCAGAGTCTTCAAATGCTGCAGCTGAGAAAACACCAGAAAGCTCAGAGAAATCCCAGAAAGAAACGCCCATGGAGCAGGGAACCCCCGAAGGAGAGGCGAGCTCCGTGCCGAACCCAGAGGACACAAACGAGAGCAAAGGAGAGCAGGATGAAGTCGACCACACGAAGATGCCGCAGCATCCGGGCAGAGACAGCGACAGCGAGGAGGAGGGCGGCGCAGAAGAGCAGTAGAACGCATTTAATTGGACTGCTGATGAGGGATTCCCCTCTGGATAAAAAAGTAGTTTGATTTAATTATTTCTGCATCTGTTTTCTACTAAATAAAATCGTCATGATGATGATTTTTGTATTTTTTATAACATCCAGTTCTTTATTAAATAACATGGAAAACTTTTTGTATATCCAATCATTTCTCTCTCTCTCACACACACATACACACACACGCACACACACACACCAACAAAAAGGCTTTATTTCAATCTCTGTCATGATTCATTCATTTATCAGCTTCAAATCTGATTGGTTCAACCTATACAAGCTCAACTAAGCTGCATTTATAGGTCAGGTCCTTCACACATGAGCCTGTGTGTATGCTGGGGAATTTCAAGCTGCCCTGTGGAAATGCACTCACTCAACCAGCAACAACAAATCCTCAACCATTCACATATTTGCAGCTCTGCAGAGCGTTGGGTAGTAAGGAATGAGATTTCTGCGTATGGTGAAGACATTAATGCGAGACTTAATATTTGTGTTAACATCAAAAGGTTAAAAAAATAGGTCTTGGTAATTTAAACCTAATTTAATTAACATGAAGCGGTTAACAGTCCCCCAGCCTGCAGGCAGAGACAGACTGGAGATAAATTCATTATGGTGCACCAGAGGTTAGTTGTTGCATCACACCTCGGGCTGGTTGACGGAGCAGGTCGCCCGCACAGCTGCTGGTGTCTGGGCTGCTGATGGTGAACCGTGCACTGATGCCATGTCAAGTGTAGGTTTATGAAATCCCCTCGTATTGTCTAGGTGCAGGGCATTCTGGGTAAAAGTTCACAGGAGCAGTAGGTTATGCTTCCTGCTAGCTGAGGAAAGGATTAGAACGACGTGTCGGATAAGAGATTATCTGTTGGCTGCTGCATGAATCACAATGACAGATCTTGCATAACTTAGTAAGGAAGTCGTGCATAATTCAGACAGCTCCAATGAAAATGTCTGCAAATGCATCGAGGATTAGTCTAAACTCAAATGATCCCGGACATTAACCTCACCAAATGGCCAAAGAATCTCATGACGCTAGGAACTTGAGTCACATGAATGCCTGCATTGTGCAACCTCCTCCCGCTCCACTGGGACTGTTTATGTCTTCCTGCTGGCCTCGAAACAATTCAGCTGCTGTGGCACCTTGTTGGAGTAAATTAGACCTAACTAACTGGTAGGAAGTGGCCACTGCTCACTTCTCCTCTGGAAGTCTGGGATCAGGATCTGGGAGACTTTAGTGGGAGCCAGAAGCTTTTCTCTGCTGAAGGTGAACATGTCTTTTATAATCACCAGACAGGTATTCCAAAGGTTAATTGCTATTTGCTTTGCTTTGCTAACTTTTTGCAGATATTAACTTATTTTGATCTCAAAATGAATGAAATCTCAGCAACAGCTTGCAGGACATTTTACTGCGTGAGATGGTTTAGTAAAAAAAGAAAGGGTGATTATGTCCTCATTCTGTCTTCTAAACATTATTGGGATTTATTTGCTTTTGTTTGTTTTGGTTATTTGTTCTTAATGTGTGGGCGTTTACCAGGAGCACGGGATCCACCATGAGACACGCTCGTGTGGAACGTGTAATTTATTGCCCAACCCTACGTGACAGTGGTGTCACAACAGGAAATTACATATTACACAGAGTTAAGGCTGCAGGGGAGGATCTGACCATTGTGTCTTAAAGATTTAATAAGCTTAGTGAATCAGTCTGACGGTGCACAGTTCTTTCACACTCGTAAAACCTTCGCTTCTACTCTCTTCTCTCTGAGGCTCGGCCTTGGGGTGGAGTATTTCTGGTGGATCTTATCGCAGAAAATGTTTAAAGCTTAATTGCATCTTGAGAATCTTTTAAACATTAGACAGGAGCGTGGAGGTTTTTCATTTTAGACGTGGCAAGCTAACGCCCTTCTGCTGCTCATCTGCGTCGACAGTCTTGCTTATTACAGAAGTTCTGCGTGATCTTAGCTGATCTGCTTGCCATTAGCGGGTGACTAATGTGCCTTCCACTCGGTGTCATTCAGCGGTCATTTGACCTCAGTGGGCAGACGGAGCTGGTGGTTATTGCTTGAAGATGTCGGGCTTTACAAAGGCGAGTGCTTAATCCTGACAGGGACTTCCGAGATCATCAACAGTTTACATCTCAATCTGATAATCTTCCATCATGACAGAAGCTTTGCTGCTGCCAGGAGATGCCATCACGAGCAATCTAAAGCGCTCTGGCGTTGTTTATCGAATCAAGGGGAAAAAAAACAGACTTTGCAAATCACACCAAACTCCATTTTGGGTTAATCATCACAGATTCTAATCTTGTTTTATTTTATTTATTTGTTTTGCAGCATAGGATGGCCAGTTGTGGTTCGTGTTTCTGGTGCATCATATGGCTGCTGGTGCTGCTGTGCATCGGCTGGCCCCTCAGCATCACCTTGGGGGCCCTCTATGGCCTCATTAGCCCCCTCACCACATGCCTCGGCCTAGACCGACTCTCGGATTTGCTCCTGGAGGGGGCCAACGTGGGCCGAACCTGTGCCAACAACATGAGGCACAGCAAGTCCTTGTGCTGAGGCCCCAGAGCAGATATCACAGAGGTCAAAGGTCATTATTGTTGCCTTCTTATGGAGACTGGGCTTCACAATGAGGAGAACTGATCACACGTGCTTCAGTTGAAGATGCACTGCTTTCTTGCAACCAAAATATGTAAAATAATGGATTCCACTCTTGTTAACACTTAATTAACAGGAACTTCAGATTTGTTTTTGGTTTCCTACAAGCTTTGCATTTATGCTCTGTTGTTATGTGTTTGCTGTTCACTTATTGGTGACTGAGTGCATATGATAAGAGAGAAAATGGAAAAGGAACAATAGAAATGTTTAGACTTGTAAATGACTGCACTGAAACGTATAATGCGATTAAAACGGCTTTGAACTTGTCCTCTGTGTTCGCTGACTGACTTCATGTTTGCAGAAAATCCTTGTTGTGGAAAAATGAGGTGTAAACAAACAGAATAGTAAATTTGCATGAATTAAGGGTTTTCCATTTTAATTTTGTTTACCAGCTTTTTGGGTTATTCCCTTATAGATTACACTGAAGAACAGCAAAACAGGATGTGACTGTAGGTCAAGTCAAGTCCAAGGTCAAGAGCAGGTATGCTGATCTGCATCGTCATCATTTCATTTGGTGAATCTACTAAATTAGTGTTTTAAAATTCATAAAGCATCTATATTTTTGAGGGTTTGCTATTTTATTATTTAACCCAAAATATTTTATTCCTTGAGCCCAAGCATCACGTTTCAAAGCCCCTTTCCCTATAATTGTTATGTCCTGTGTCTCCCCTGTCTCTTCCTTATCCCCTCTCACCTATTGTGCTTCCTGGTCCCTTAATATTCAAAATAATCCCAATTCTTGCACTTCCACCCTTGTGCCCTTCAATTGCGCATTCCTGGCCAGGGGTGCGAGTGTATAAGGCGTCCCGATTCTCAGGCCCAATCTCAATACTCGCACTGCGTCCTGCGGTCTTCAGCAAAGTGCACTTGGAAAAAGTGCACTGTAGGGTTCGAGTCGTAGTGCACAAGTGTGCAAATAATTGCAGAATTGAAACAGGGAGCATTGCGTCATCGATTGCAACGCATGCCGTGATGCTGGTCACTGTGAAACTTTTTTCAAAAACCTTTATTAACAACTTTTAAACAAACGATAAAGCAATTATTTCAAGTACATTTTACTTCATTGCTGCTTTGTCTAAAACAGGGGTGGTCAAATATGCGGCCCACGGGCCGGATCCGGCCCGCAAGCGGGTTAAGTCCGGTCCGTAAGATGGTTGTGTAAACTTTATTTTCATACTTTACAATGTAGAGTGAAAATAAACTTATCATTGTGAGCAAGTTTCCTCTGTAATGAGTATAAATAAAACAAAGCTGCGCTCAAGGCCCACACAAGAACTTGAATCACATCCTGAAGTTGGCCGCCACTCAGGATGTGACTTCTGATATTGATGTGCTGGTGAAAGCTAAAAGATGTAAAGTAAAATGAGTCAAATATACTTTAAGTGCTGCATGAAACTGATATAACCATGTGATCTGTAAGCTCTTTGAAAAACCAAGGAAAGTTTTTTTTATTTGTTGATTTTTTAATTTTTTTTTCAAATTTTCAAGTACACTTCAGGTGTTGCACTTGTACTACACTGTCCTCAGGCTCCAGCCTTGTTTTATATTGATTGTATTAAAACAAAGAAAACAATTTGAAGTTTTTTTTTTTTATTTACCGTTCCAGCCCACTTGGGACTAGATTTCCCTCAATGTGGCCCCTGAGCTAAAATGAGTTTGACACCCCTGGTTTAAAACATTCAGAGTATCAAATAATCACCCTAAAATAAACTAATTTTATTAGAAAATAAATATTTTCAGAAATGGAACTTGAGCCTTTGAGGTCTGCATCGCTGCGGACTTGGGTGAAGTGCAGATTAAGGGTGCAATGGGAGCGTGGTCAACTTCTGCACTTGAGAATCGGAACACCTTACGCACTAGCACCCCTGGTCGGGAACGTGCAAATGAAGGGTGCGAGGGTTCAAGTGTGAGTATTGAGATTGGGCCTCAGGTCCGGAAGGTGACCACGCCCCTTTTGCACCCTTGATCTGCACTTGGGCCAAGTCTGCATCGATGCAGACTTTCAACTGAAGGAAGTTCATGTTAAGAGGATGAGTGGCATTTATTCATGCTCTGGATGATTTAGACTAAGATTTATTATGGACAGCAATGAATTTAGATCTAGTCAAATAATGTTTTGTTTGAAAGTAGTGGAGTACAGGGGTGGTGTTTTGTTTCAATTTTAAAAGTAAACAAAAGTTATTCCTATGACTTTGTGTTAATTGTTGCACCAGTATCACTGTGTGTGTGTGTGTGTGTGTGTGTGTGTGTGTGTGTGTGTGTGTGTGTGTGTGTGTGTGTGTGAGGACAGATCTGTATGTGGTTAATTGAAAGAGGGGGCCTGTACTCGCCCGTTGTTCTCCCTGCAGCAGGACAAGATCAGATTTTTTTCCATAACCAGTCTCAGACGTGAATAAAAAAATCACCAGCTTGTCTTGCTCTGTCTCCCAGTACCGTACTGTCAGCCTGGCATGTCGGCCCTCTGCCGGGGCTTCTGGGAGAAAAAACAGACGAAGTAGATTTAAATCCAGGGCTATTTCTTTGGCAACCGCCTTCGTTCCTCTGGATATTTGGAAGCACGTTTGGGCAGATATTAAAGCAATCTAAGTAGGTCTCATAAGGCGCTCCCATAAATATTGCAGAACATGTTTTGGAATTAGCCACCTCACTTTTTAAAGAAATGCTTTTCTGATTCTAAGAACGAGCGAGGTTCTGTCACCGTTCATCACTCAGCGGCGAGAGTTTGAAAACAGGGATGAAAAAGCAACGTGAATGGATGATGAAATATTCATAAGTTTAATTTGAATAAGCTACAACACGGACAGATTTGTAGCTCTGTGAGATTATTTGAGTAAGAATTTGAGGGGGTTTCTAAGGCTGGAATCCTGAGCTATTTTGGGTTTGGTTGACAATGTTTGACGACAGCAAATAAAAGAAAATTTCAGCTTCAAAATGTAAAACTTAACAAGTTTTGGTCAAAATGTATGAATGACTAAGCCTCCAGGAGTAATTTATAAGTACTTCTAATGTCCTGCTGATGTTTTATTCACCTTTTTGGCTGCAGGAATGTTGGTATGTCGGTAAATCTGCTCTAATCTAAACATTTGATCTCAGTGAATGAATGCATGTTTTACTCTCCCTAAACAAATCGGTTGAGCGCAGCGGCTTGTTTCTGCATTTTCCTTTAAGCTTTTATTCTCTTTCATGTCTTACTTCCACTAGCAGCTTTGACAATGTGGCATTCTTTAAGATAATATAGGATAAGGAAGTTCTGCAGGGGAGTGGGGGTTAAGTGATGCCTGGTGTGAGGAAAGGGAGGAAAAGTTTTCTGACGTCTTAGATCATTTAAACGAATCTGTATGAGTCCAGTCGTTGGTTTCAGGTTTGATGCTTTCAGAGTTTTAGAAACAGAGATTCCAATTACTAATTAGCCATGCCGATAATATTCCTGAAAGAAAAATTCAAACAATTTGAACTAAAAATTTCAAATTTTGGCTAAAAGAAATCAAATTAAAATAAAACAAGGCCCTGAACTCAAATGAACATGCAGGTACAGTAATCCTACCCTCACCCACATGATCACAAGGGAATAGGATCCTGGATGCAATCAGCTGGATGCTCGGAGAGCCGCTTCTACTCTGTATCAAAAGGATTTAGCAGAGGTGGTGGAGGCAGATTAGGATGCATCCCAGGCACGTTTCACTAGGAGAGGAGCCTGGAGCAGACTCAAAACTTCCTGAAGGGATGATGTCATCATCTCTGGTCTAGGGATGCCTTGGAAGGAACTGGAGAGCATAACTGGAGAGAGGAATGTCCCGGCTTCCCACCTGGATCTGTCACGTTTGTGATCTAGTTTTGGGCAACTTAGCAAAATTGTGAATTTTATGTTGAAGTCCAGTTTTGCTAATTAAATTTCACAATTAAAGCCCCAAACCTGTCTGGACGTGTGCAGTCATGTGGAAAAATGACTTCTTGAAAAATGTCCTTTACTTTCTCAAACATTTGTTGAATTTATTTTTCTTAGAATGCAAATACTTTCAAAGTTTATTTTTCTCTAAAATATCCCTGCAGAGGGTTTTATAGATCTTGGTGTTTTGAGGCATCACATTTCAAAGGAAACTCAGGCAAACAAGGCAAGCTCAGTTTGAAGCGTAATACATAATAAAAACATTTTTTGTTAATTAACTTTTTCCATTAACTGATTTAATTGTACTTTTTAATGGAGATATCAAATGTAACAGCTAGCTAGCTCAACGAGGATTGTTCCAATAATCTGCTTGTTTTATTAACATTTGACCTTAGGGTTAAAAGAAATAAGCTCGTTGCTTTTATTTTAAGTTGAAAGGGTTGAACCAAAGAGCTAACGATTAATTCGATCCTCCAATCCCAAATCAAATTAGATATGCTCTAAAGGCACGACCACAAACACACACCCGTTTAATGTCAGCGCTCCAAATGCTCTCTAAGAAGTTTCAAAATTTTCTCAAAAACTTCTTGGCGACCATCCAGGACTGATCTTTAAGATCATTTTTGTCAGAACTTTTCAGTTTCACCTTAATAGCTTGTATTGAAAAGTTTAAAAGCTGGAACATTAACCCTAAAGCTTCAGCCAGGATCTTCTAACTTCTGTTTCGCTGTTCGACAGCAAGTCACAGCCTCAAAGTGAATAAAGAGACTCAAATCTTTAGAGAAAAATTCTGAAAAAATAAGTGAGCTTTGAAGATCTTTTTACTTCTGCATTTTAGAACTTTGTAAGCTTTAAACTCTGCTCACTAACGTTAAAATAACCTTTTCAATTTTGCACAATGCTGAGAGATGATGGTTCATATTTACAGGTATTTGTGCTACTTTGAGGTTCCTGATGACGATGTTTTTTAAACATTGCATGTTTTTTTTTTAAAGTTCACACTTTCTTTTGATGTGTTTCATCTCTTTTAGGGTTTGGAAAAGATCAGTAACCCTAAAAAAAGATATATATATATATATATATATATATATATATATATACACACAGCACCAACCGAAAAATTCACTATGTGAGATGCTTTCCTTGTGTCTTACTCGCCCCAACTGCCCAATGAGCCATTACCTTGATGTCTGATCATAAAGGGAAAAAATGACCTTGGGTCATCTTTTCCAAATCTCTTTGTTGCAGCTTTAAAAAGTAAAAAGATGGTAGAAAAATGTGAAGATAGGAAACAGATTCAATCAGATTTTAACAGATTAACCTGGTTTGCAGAAAACTACATTTGTTTGAAAAATAATGACTAAAAATCAAATCATAACAAATCTGAAATAACTGCCTTAACACATTAATTTGAAAATGAAGTCTCTGGTTATAAAATCTAATCTTAAACTTATAATTTAAAAGCAAAACTTCTATTATTACGTGTTTAAAATAAGGTTCAGTAAATAGTAAAACGTATAGACACAATTCAGGTTCTGCTGGATACTCCTGAGGACATCAAATCCTCGTCTTATCTATTGTTCTAAAAAGGCTAAAATAAATGTGTCTGATCAACTTAACTAAATAACTATAATAATTGTCAAAATGGATTTTAAATGTAAGTTTTGACAGATTTTCTTCAAAACTGGCTCAATAGTTGCTTTTAATGAGTTTTATGTAACACGTTTGCATAAGTAAAAAAAATATTTAGCATTTTGGCAAAATGCAGCATCCTGTCTAAGTTTTAGTGATGCTCTACCAACAAATTCATGCAGAATTACTGCTGCCACGGTGACAGCATGAGGTACTATACCAGCCAGGAAGAGGAAACCTGCTTTGCGTCTTTTCCTGTCTTCCAGCTGCTGTGACCTTTAAATGAACCCCTAACAAATAACACAGAAACACCTTACAAATAATAAAATCCTTCCAGACTGTTGGGATTGAGTGAGTTTTAATGAATCTTTTAACTCAAATACATTTACTAATTACTGACCAAAGCAGAAAACCAAATAACTCCCCCCGCTGCGTCCTATTAAAGGTTTGAACTCTGCTCAGGACATGAAATTCCCTCAATAAATATCAATATTCTTTCTGTTTTTGACCATTTTATTGCCATTGTCTCATCTCTGCTGATGAGTAATAAAACTGATCTCCAGAGAGGGTGAATATTATCTTCAACACTCACGGATTACATCTTATGTCTTCCACAGGTCGGGGGGGGGGGGGGGGGGTGTCTGTGACCCCTCACACTCACTGTTGGACACGCCAAGAGAAGAAACCTTACATACACAAATGCGTGAGTGCCAAAAGAACGTGGTGTTTTCACAGGTATGGACTCGGGTGTTTTTGACACATCACCTTGGGCTGTGGTTGGCACCAAATGCACATCAATAAATTATTACTGTGTGCTTTTCAGCAAATATTGTTACTGATACATATCCTCATGTTGTTTAATACAGTGAAATATTAGTTATGTTGTATTTTTGTGTGTCTCCTTTTTTCTGTTTCTCTCTTTCAGCTGGTCTAGAAGCAGATTTTTGTACATCCTGAATTATTTTTTTGTGAACTTCCTCCCCACGCCTCTTCCATACCACTGGGGGTTACTGATGTTTTACAATTGGGTTAAGTGAGAGCAAAACGCATAAAAATAACTATTCTAATGCTGACTTGAACATACAATGCAAATAACAAGGAATGCCATAAAAATTATAGTTTACCAACATTTGTAGATGACTCAACAAATAAACTTCCTCCTCGTTAGTGCTCCACTTCCCGTTTCCAGAAATTGAAAATAAACTCACACCCTTTAATTAAAACACTGGGTCAAGCTGTTTAAATATATCTGAAATCACTTGATGCATTGCTCTTGTTTATGGTGCAATTTGCAAATTTAAAGAAAAACAATTCTAAAGCAGCAAAAGGTCATTTTAAAACCATTTTGTCTTGAGTTTGAGGACAACTCCAGGTAGAAATGAATAATTCATGTTTCCCTCTTGATCTCTACAGCGTTTGTCTTCCATACGTGGTCAAAAACAGTTAGGAATGTCAGAATTCTGGGACAAAAGGATGCTTAAAGCAGACCTCTGCCCACAATTCATTACATAAGACCCAAACAAAGACTCACATAGTGAAGGGTTATGGCTCGGGGTCGGGTGACAGCAGCATATGATTCATGGCTCGCTGTGCCCTTTTGTCTCGTCCTCCTTGTGGTTGGACTGTCCACGGCGTTGTTATGCAGTCTAGAGCTTACTCCCTGTCTGCTTCAAGTAAACTGGCAATGCCATTTCCTGTGTATTTTTCCTTTCTTCCATGCAGCAATAAAGAAGGAATAATATGGCACGTGTCACAACAAGAGCTGTTCTTATTTTCTCCATGTTTGGATGCATGAAACAACAAGTATCATCACTACTTTTGTTTATTTTTGTGAAGTTTTCATGTAAAAACGAATACACCGCCCTGTCTCTGACCTCGTGTTGCAGTTATTAAACAACCTTTTGGTGTTTGAGGAGACAGATACATGATCTGCAGGGAGATTTAATACTCTGCAATCAATGAGAAATTCTGAAATATGTCCTTTTGTTTGAATTTTCAGTTCTAAGTAAATGCTAATAATCTAGAAAGGTGAATACACCATAAGAAATAACTATATGTGGATTTCAACCCTGAAAATGTGGGAAAATTACCCTTTTTTACACTAGACAAACATTATCCTGTTAAATTTCATTTTTCTACTTGGAATTTGGTTATTTTTCCAATAGAGTGAGCCAAAATACACAGATATAACAATGTTTTAAAAGTGCATACTTTTATAAAAGTGCTACAAATTTACATGTACTGAAATTAACTTTAGATTTAAAAGTGTGGATAAAACAGAAAAATGGTTGTTTAAGGGAATCGGTGTTCGCACCAAGAAAACTTACATAGAAGTGATAAAGTGGATTAAACTGCATGGTCAAAATGATCATAACTAACCTGCATGCCCACCAGTGGTGCCTCCAGAAAGGTTTGATGGGGGTCCAGATGCGGCCAGGGACAATTTGAGGGTGGCACACCAAACTGGTGCTTGTGTTAACTCTGGGACCGTTCAGCCTTTAGCTGCGCTTTGCATTGTTCTTTTCCTCTTTTTCTCTATGAAACAATATGCAGCCAGCACATTGACCTTACATTTGAGAACCAAAAACATTTAAGAAAATAAAAAACATTTAAGTTATTTCAACATTTATTAGTTTAGCATTTTACAGCGGTTTCATTTACAGTGATCCCTCGCTACTTTGCGGTTTGTTTATCGCGGATTCACGACTTCGGATTTTTTCTTTGGAGCCTTATTCAAGGGAAATTTGCCGATTCGCGGTATTTTTCACCGATTTGCGGTATTTTTCTATGCGAAATATCAAGAAATTCCTGTTTTTTTTTCATCAATTTCATCATAAAATGCACTTTTTGTAATAAAACTATAAAAAAAACAAGTAAAAATACAGTAGTAAGTAAAGGGAGGGTTTTAAAAGTCTGAATACTGAATACGTACCTGTTAAATAAATACTGTAAATATGGTGTCCCTACTTCACGGATTTTCACCTATCGCGGCCAGGTCTGGAACGCATCTACCGCGATAAATGAGGGATCACTGTACCTGTTACTGTCTTAACAAAAATAGCCACAAAAACTGTTGATATTTTTACTTTGTTTAGAAAATGGGGAGCAACAGCAGCAGCATACATATTGTTTTTATTGTGAATTATTTATTTACTCGTTATATATTTATTTATTGTGTTTTACATTTATGTTTTCGTTAAAGGAAATTAACGTATGATCTGTGTGAACATGTCTTCCCTGGGAGGGCTAGTAGGATGGCTAGCAATTTTGCAATGGGGGTCATTGTCACCTTTAGCCATCCCTTGAAGCTGCCACTGATGCCTACATGGGGCTTCTGACTGTGACTGGTGTTTACAGACGCTGAGATCAGGCTGCTTAGTAGGATGTTGAGAACTATTACAGAAAGTGCTTTTGTTTTAATTTAGAATGAAAAACATTTAAATGTTTATGGTTGTTGTGGTTGTTATGTCTCTGGTATTGTGTGGCATTAGAAATCTGGTGAAACACTCTCTTTTCTCTCATAAACAAACTGCTCTAATCATAGTCCCTTACGAGGGACTTCATGGGCCAGTGGTAAATGCATTTGTAGCAAAATTAAAGAAACTTCTAGATTTGATCTAAATCAAACCCACCGACTCGGCAAATACAAATCAACTTGCTTGTGCTTTATGCATTGCCTGAGAAATCCTCATGGTCACTCAAACCTGTTAGGAGAGGAAAACTATACCCTGCAGTCATAGGGAGTGGGTTTTGTCTACAGGAAAGCTTTGGATCTTTGTTTAAACAAAAGTGAAATGTGGGGTCAAGTCGAGCAGCTGCTGACAGCAGCTGGAGGAGCAAATGGTCTCTGTGTTTGGCTCCGTCAGCTCAAATGCCAACATGCAGACATGAAAATAGCAGTAAAAGAAGAAAAGAGCCGCTGATTTACAGCGTAACTGTAAATAAACAAACTAGCTGGGGCAGTTTCATGTGTCAGGGATTTTAGTTAAAGTACAAAGATTATTCAACTTATAAGCATGTAAAAGAACAAGATCAGACCTGCTGTAGACACACAGGGAATTATTCATTAATAATAAAATGACTCATCAGTAGGTCAGAGATCAAAGAGAAGCTCATCATTGCCTTCCTGTCCTCTCTGCTGTCCTCCATATATGGGCAGGAGACACAGACGTCCACTGGGGACTCCCCCTTTCTTGTCATGCCATTCATGGAGTGGCTTTTGTCAATGGAGCAATGAGTTACCAAATATAGAGAAGGGGTCTGCAGCTTGGCCCCCACAGACTACCATCAGGAGTATAAAGCAGCTCAAGGTGCCATCTCCAGACCCCCTGGCTAGATCCACACTGGAGCACTAGTGAGTATCTGAATATGAGTACATGTAATTAGGAACTCATCAAGAGGATGGATGGAGGATTTTGTTACAGATGAAACTTTTAAGAACTTTTTCATGCAGCATAGTTTTTAACTTGAGAATCATTCCCAGCCCAACCACAACATTTTATCCAGAGAATTAATTGAATAATCGTGCACGTGCCTGGACAATTTATTTATTCTTTCAGATCTGACATCATGTGCGACGACGAAGAGACCACCGCCCTGGTGTGTGACAATGGTTCGGGTCTGGTGAAGGCTGGGTTCGCTGGTGATGACGCACCACGCGCCGTGTTTCCCTCTATTGTTGGTCGCCCACGTCACCAGGTAACTCAATAATATATACATTTATAAGTATAAAACTAAACTATATAAAGATTCATATTATTTAAAAAGTTTACATCACAATGCATCAACAGTGGGGGCCAGTTTATCCATGCGTAATTGCACACTGAACCCAAACTCCTCCACGTTATTTATTGAGTTCTTTGGTCTGATGATTGTTGCTTATGTAGGGAGTCATGGTTGGCATGGGCCAGAAGGACTCTTACGTTGGAGACGAAGCGCAGAGCAAAAGAGGCATCCTGACCCTGAAGTATCCAATCGAACATGGGATAATCACCAACTGGGACGACATGGAGAAGATTTGGCACCACTCCTTTTACAACGAGCTGCGCGTGGCCCCAGAGGAGCACCCCACTCTCCTGACAGAAGCCCCACTCAACCCAAAAGCCAACAGAGAAAAGATGACTCAGATCATGTTTGAGACTTTTAATGTCCCCGCGATGTATGTGGCCATCCAGGCCGTGCTGTCCCTGTACGCGTCTGGACGCACCACAGGTAGGACAGCATCCACTGGTGTGAGCTGTGTTCCTTTTCAGGACATGGGAGGTGTTTATAAATATTAATCATTGGTTTAAAGGAATCGTTCTTGACTCTGGTGACGGTGTGACCCACAACGTGCCCATCTATGAAGGATACGCGCTTCCTCACGCCATCATGCGCCTGGATTTGGCCGGTCGTGACCTCACAGATTACCTGATGAAAATTCTAACAGAACGTGGCTATTCGTTTGTAACAACAGGTGAGCTTGGAGAGCAAAACTTAGCCAAAATATTCACTTTTTGAACACTTTTATGAGGTTTTCTGTTTGTTTTTTTCTCTGCCAACAAATATAAAAATAATCACAAGAATTCAGATGAAACTTAACCCTTTTATGCATGAATTATGAAATCTTCAACCATGATTTTTTAAACAATTTTTTTCATTCATCTTTAGGTGCAAATGAAACAAATTTCAACAAATATTTTTGTAACATTTTGTAAAATATACAAATAATTTATTACATGTCCAGCTTAGTGGACAGCGTGCATTCTGAACATGAAATATGTTGGCTTGACTTGCTGAAGCTCAAATGGAGGGGCTCACATGCAACAAAGTCTTCAACAGCTGTGCTTAATAGCAAAAATAAATAAATAACAATTTTGAGTACCTGTCCACTGTAGTGACCATTTTAATGAGAAACATGTCCAATTTCCTTCAGCCGAGAGAGAAATTGTCCGTGACATCAAGGAGAAACTTTGCTACGTGGCGTTGGACTTTGAGAATGAGATGGCCACCGCTGCTTCCTCTTCCTCTCTGGAGAAGAGCTACGAGTTACCCGATGGTCAGGTTATCACCATCGGAAATGAGCGCTTCCGCTGCCCGGAGACTCTCTTCCAGCCCTCATTCATCGGTGCGTAAATCCAGATAACACCAGATAACCACTAACTTTGACACAACTAGAAAAGTAACAATTCGGTGAATGCCCCCCCCCCCCCCCCCCCCCCAATTATGGATTATATTTGAAATTAGTTTGAAATTTAGATAGATGTTTGACACAGATCTGAGTTTAATGCCAGAGTTTTTAAAATATAAATATGTGTGATACGACTAGTTAAAGTAATATATGGCATATGGCATATGACTTATTGCAACTTAAGAAAAATGGTTTTCTGAACACAAATTGGTTTTTCATTAATATTTTTGACTAATTAAATAATTTCCAAGTACATGAGAGCAGGAGGAGACAGTAATCCATCAGTCTTGCCTCCTCATGACAAACAAATGCGCCGGAGTAGCCAGATGCACGGAGTTGATGGTTGGGTCCCTGAGTGCGCAGCTGTTGGCGGAGCTGTCCGTTTCAGCACCTGTTATGACAGCTGACGGCGGGACTTTTTTAGCTGCTGGGGGGGGGGGGGGGGGGGGCAAAGCTCACTCAGCCGTCCACTTTTTTGCACAGGCATGGAATCTGCTGGCATCCATGAAACTACCTACAACAGCATCATGAAGTGTGACATCGACATTCGCAAAGACTTGTATGCCAACAACGTCCTCTCAGGGGGCACAACCATGTACCCCGGCATTGCTGACCGGATGCAGAAGGAGATCACCGCTTTGGCGCCCAGCACCATGAAGATTAAGGTGACTGGACTGGCTGTGGGGTGTTAAAGATGCGTGTCAATTGGCAGATTAACACTTTGGCAAATGCAACCTGTGTTTCAGATCATCGCCCCTCCTGAGAGGAAATACTCAGTGTGGATCGGCGGCTCCATTCTCGCCTCTTTGTCCACCTTCCAGCAGATGTGGATCAGCAAACAGGAGTATGACGAGGCCGGACCCTCCATAGTCCACAGGAAGTGTTTCTAAACTGCCATCCGACCCAATCATGTTTTCTCAAAAAGTCTTTGTTTACATAAGAAAAAATATTGTTATAAATAAACACTCAACCTTGATTTTGTTGCCCTTTCACTTGTCACGTGACGGACAAGTAGAGGTTATAGCAGATTTGAATTAGAGCAGATTAAACACAGAGAGAAAGAGGATCAGCCACCTCATGAGAAACTAACCCCGCAAAGTTTCACATAGCGGCACCACCGCTGTCACGTGATCACTAGTGAAGAAAGCTAACAACAACAAATTTGTTGTTGTTGTTATTGCTATTATTGTTATTATTATTATTATTATTATTATTATTATTATTATTATTTTTACAACTTAGTGGTTAGAGGTCAATGTTTTTTATTGAATAATCTCTGGTTTTGTTAAGAAAACTATATAAAAAACACAATAAGTCTCAGAGTGACATCCAGGGCGGGGTCGTTTATTTTTCTTCTATTTATAAACTTCAGCGGAGAGAGGCAGCTTCATAAAGCGATTAGCAACTGGGATGGTATTTTCACTCTGTCACTGCGTCCAGAGCGTCATCTTCGCCCAAGGCGGAAACAACAGCTCTGCCATCCGGGCCGACAGCTTGTGACACAGGGAGGCAGACCTCTGGGCACGGGAGGCTGCGCGCTCTCTCAGAAACAGGAGATGGGCTCCATTTAGCCTTCAGCCACCTCTGGCTTCCGGATGAGAAGCAATACAATAAAATAAAACCACACTGGGCAATGCATGTGTCTTTTTAATGTATGCATGCATCACAAAAACGTGCGTAAAATTGACACAAGTCACAGTGTTTCTGTGCACACAGCGCCAACCTGTCCACGGGACAAGTATTGCGTTAACATGCGGTTTAAGGTTCAACCTGAACACACATGTGCGCAACAACTACTATTGTGACACTCTGCACAAAACAGAGCAACCCCCCAATTGCACATATCCAGAATTAAAATACTGGAAATCACCAGCTATGGCACTCCCGGCGGTGCCTCCACCGACCTGTCTGCGCGTATGTGACGCACGGGAGGGGTGGGGGATACTACTTAAAGGCGGATTAACGCCGGCAAGACATTAAATCCAACCTGCCTCCATCTAGACGCGCGGCGCAGCCAATCAACCTGATCTGAAGATCGAAAATAGGAGGGCTTACAGTAATCAGCCCTCAGAGTCTCATGACAAGGAACAGGGTGGCTACGTTGGGGGGAGCGCACGGCACACGCAGCAGGACGCTCACTGGAGCTGCGCTCTCAGCACAGAACCAACCAGATCGCGAGAGAGAGAGACAGGGGAACGGGGACGGTAGAAGCATCCCATAACGGATGCGGGTTTTAGCCAATTTCGGACGCGCTGGAGTCTAAGACCACCAGAGTGAATCCGTCCGGGAAATAAGGCGATTTATTTTCTTTTTTTTTTTTTGGAGGGACTTGACCTGAGTGCCGTTGAACCTTCGTCTCCTCCGGATGCTCAGAAATGGGGGAATGGACTATACTAGAGAGGCTCCTGGAGGCTGCTGTCCAGCAGCACTCTACTATGATAGGAAGGTAAGATCATAGAAAAACCAAGAAGAAACCCAGCAGCCTCCAGGATCGTCTTTAGCATGGTCCCCCCCGTTTCTGTGTTGTGGCTCCAGGATCGTCTGTAGCGTGATGTCCAGTCCAGTCCAGTGCTTCGTGTCTTGTGTTGTGGATCCTTCTTGTCTTCATTTCCCCCCAAGATATCTCCTTTTTGTCCTCCTCCTTAACGAGACAGCTCAGATCCTCAGACAGCTGTTTTTTTTTTAGGAACCTGGGATGGTGCTGCAAAGTCAAACCAGCTAAAAATCAATTCATGCTTCATGTTCATCCATTTATTCACATTGATCTGTACTGGTGAGTTGGAGTGCGGGTTGTGCACTCGGCGGTGGCGGAAGGAGATCGAGCGAGAATCGGTACCTCATTTCATTAACATGTTCACACAGGTAACACCAAAGCAACGCCGATTGCTGACGTGTCATAATCATTAAATCACACACACACACACACACACACACACACACACACACACACACACACACACACACACACACACACACACACACACACACACACACACACACACACACACACACACACACACACACACACACACACACACACACACACACACAATTTTCCTCTAAGAGCGTCCACTTTCAGCACTGGACAGCTCCTCCAAATTGGCGCTTCGGCCACCGAGACAGCGCACAGCTTGAACCACACTAAACCTTTTTTTATTTCTTTTTTATTTTACATCTATTTGTTTTTTTGCTTGCTTTTTAGGATCCTACTAACAGTGGTGGTCATCTTCCGGATTCTAATCGTAGCAATAGTTGGAGAGACTGTCTATGATGACGAGCAGACCATGTTTGTTTGCAACACCTTACAACCCGGCTGCAACCAGGCGTGCTACGACAAGGCATTCCCCATTTCACACATTAGATATTGGGTTTTTCAGATCATCATGGTGTGCACCCCCAGCCTTTGTTTCATCACATACTCGGTGCACCAGTCGGCCAAGCAGAAGGAGCGGCGGTACTCCACGGTGTACCTGACGCTGGACAAGGATCAAGATTCTCTGAAGCGAGACGAGAGCAAAAAGATAAAGAACACCATAGTGAACGGAGTTCTGCAGAACACCGAGAACTCCACCAAAGAAGCCGAGCCGGACTGCTTGGAGGTGAAGGAGATCCCTAATTCGGCCATGAGAACTACAAAGTCCAAAATGAGGCGGCAGGAAGGCATCTCCAGGTTTTACATCATCCAGGTGGTGTTCAGAAACGCGCTGGAGATAGGCTTTTTAGTGGGTCAGTACTTCCTGTACGGATTCAACGTGCCGTCCGTGTATGAATGTGACCGCTACCCGTGCATCAAAGACGTCGAGTGCTACGTGTCCAGACCCACGGAGAAGACAGTGTTCCTGGTCTTCATGTTCGCGGTGAGCGGCTTTTGCGTGGTGCTGAACCTGGCGGAACTCAATCATCTGGGCTGGAGGAAAATCAAGACGGCCGTGCGGGGGGTGCAGGCTCGGCGGAAGTCCATCTATGAGATCAGAAACAAGGACTTGCCCAGGATGAGTGTGCCCAACTTCGGACGCACTCAGTCCAGTGACTCTGCTTACGTGTAAAAACGAACTCACCACCCAGAATGGGACGAGATGGACAGCTCCGCACGCCTAATTTGTGTCATGATTTAAAGAGTGGGCAGATTATTATTATTGTTATTATTATTATTATTATAATTATTATTATATTTATTTCCTTTATAAGTTCTTGATCTTTTATAAACTTCATGTCAAACGTGGGGTCCACGTTTGCTACTTATTTATTAGTGCACTGATGCAACTTTTTTCTTAAAACGTTTCTACTCTGTCAGATGCTTCATGGAGACCACGTCGTTCACAGATTTACTCTTTGTGGGCTTGTTCTGCTAAACTTGAAGAGAATAAATGCAAAAATGAAGAAGAGAACAGAATTGCACTAAGAAGTGAACATCTGAGAGCCTGATCCAAATGTGCTGACTTTGCTTTTAAATATGTTTCTTTTCTACCCATTTTTATTTGTTTCTGGAACCAAACTTCATAAATGGCACAATTTAACCTGAAAAAAAAACCCATCCAGATTTATATACCAGATATAAATCCTTACCATTGTTCAGAGTAAATACAGCTTGACTTGCTTTTTGGGTTATTTTTGTTGCCTGTGTTGCACCACTGACCTTAATGTAACCATTCCACTGCTTAATAGCTTAACTTTGCAAAACAATATCTGGTGAATTTGCTGCAAAATGCTAACGTCTGTGACTTCCTTAATTTATGACACACCAAAGCGCCCACTGCTTTTATTTGTGAGTGTTTTCTTGCTTTGTTTCTGTAATCAAGTGCCATACTTGTATATAAAGAAATACAAATTATAAATATATGTATACAAATGAACATAGATATATATATAAATATATATATAATAATAATAATCATGAGAGCTGATTCCCTGCTTGAATTATGCTTAATACTGGCATTTTTTTATTTGCTCTAAATGTATTTGTTGTTCTTTAAATGAAACAAAGGAGAAATATACTTGTTTTATTTTGCAAATGACTGGAAAAAGAAATGAAGTGCTAGAATTAAAAATATATATGACATACAAGAGTCTCCCCAATCAAAGGAGATCAAAACTGAAAAAAAGCACAAATTGATATTTTTAATCAAAGAATGGGCAAATAAGACCTGCTCCGGTGCTACGGTTTTTCATAGAATGGTTTTAAATGTAACCCTCAGAGTACAGAAAAAGAAACTAAAAGATCTTTTTTTCTGTGGAAAATAAAAGTGGGATTCATGTACACCAGAAACGTGTGACATGCAGTGCTTTTGTGTGCTCTGCTGTAGCTTCTTCTTACTATATAGATATCCAGTGGAAGTGAGCCCTTGCTGCAGTGAAGATGTTAGCCACACCCACTACTGCAGGACACACCTTGTGCAGAATCTCACCTCTCTGCATTGTGTTGCAATCCTGATGCTGCTTTCATGAAGCAACACAGCTGGGGCTCATTTTTGAGTCTGTGCAGCATGCATCAAATCAGAAATAAGTAATTAGCTTCTTGTTCACTTCAGGAGGAATTAAGTGCGTGATTGTATTCAAAACTGCAGGAGAGAGAGAGAGCTGATGATTATGATCACTGAATGGCAGTCCTCACCTTCTTTCTCCTATAAGTGAAGCATTATTTGCTCCTCTTGCACCAAGAGGATGGATGGGTAGATCTGAGAAAAGTCACAAGATGCAAAGAAATTAACAAAAAGACACAGAAAAGAACTGAAGAACTATAAAAAATTAATTAAACAAATTGGGGTTGGCCATTTTAGGTTGTTTTAGGGAGGGCTGTTCTCGATTCACCTGCAAGGATGACTCTGCAGAGCGCAGAGAGATCAAAGAGATGCCGTTCCTGCAGACCTGTCTCCAACTCAGCTGGGATTTGAGATTTAGATGTGATCTAGAAAAAACAGAAATTTCACTTTGATCCTGCAAACTCCACAGCAGCATACACACATCTCTCCATCTACGTCTTGTTTTTGTTGATTTTGTTATTTTTGAGTGTCCTGCAACACAAATGAAGTTTCTTTTAGAAAATATAAGGTTAGAAAAACGGTTTTAAAATACATCCCCAGGGAATTAGACGGTTTGTTTTAGAATAGTCAGTTTTATGTTCTTAAAAGATTCAACCAGATGATTATTTTTCATGAAAATGAACAAGTTGATGCAGATTCACTCAGTCAGCACACACTGTAACAACAACACACAATGTTTTATTTTCTCCTATTGTGTTTATGCTAATGGAACATCTACAATACATTTTAAAAAGATTGTTTTTTTAACAGTGTCTCACGATTTGTGTTGTTCGAAGTGTGTGTGTGTGTGTGTGTGTGTGTGTGTGTGTGTGTGTGTGTGTGTGTGTGTGTGTGTGTGTGTGTGTGTGTGAGAGAGAGCTTTATTCGCCTCAATATTGTAACATTATAGCCTTCCTGCTGCACACGCTCAGGCATTTCTATTATTTTTTTATTCTTAAAACTGCTCCATCAGCATTTTTCACTCAGAAAAACAAAGATCACATTGTTTCAAGTAAAAAATATGATTTTTAAACATTTAAATGTATTTGCGTTTGAATGCAACGAGACAAAGAAACACCAGAAACACTGAGCAAAAGCTAAACAACACCTGAGCTGTCTGTGACAAGCAGCGACTAAAAATAACGGTTTCATGTTCAATTTCATCAAAGGTGTAAGGTTGCGTTCCGGTCACCAGGCGGGCTACTTCAGAAGCTTAAAGCACAGAACAGAAAGAAGGCCCAATAGTGTGTTCAGATCTCACGTATGTCAGTGCGGGATCAAAGCAGCATTTACTGCTGCTGGAGAGGTCCAATCAAAGGCAGCTGAAAAAGAGACAATTATGTGCAACTGATATTTACAAATGTTTTCTGTTTTGGACAATTAACATAAAACATTTAAAGTGTTTTTGCATAGCAATATTTAACACCAGCCTTGTCTGAGTCTGCAAAACCCCAAAACTACCTTAACAAGTGTCTGTTTTTCATAGTTATGAGCTGCGTCAAAAGAAAACCTGACAGACGGAAGTGATGAAGGTGATGCAGTAACTCCGAATGATGCAATGATAAACATTTCAGACATTTTGAGGAAGTTGAAAAAGCAATGATCTTGTAAAAAGGGGCAAAGCTGAATTTCCTTAAGGTCAAACTGCGAAGTGAGTACAAGTGTCAGACCACGAGCAGTCCTGTTGACACATGAACTGACCTCCAACAAGCCAACCTGTAACTATGCATTTATTTGACTCTTCTATCACATTTAAGATCAAATATTTTTAAAAAGGTCATGTTGGACAATGTGCGGTTTTTACCTTTAATCTCTGGAAATATCTATCGAGTCATTGTTGAAAATTAAAAAACTGGGTCTAAAGTACACATGGCACTGGTCTAGTGTCTTTGGGGGATGCCATGTTTCCTTCTGGCCGGGTCGGGGTCCTGCGTCTGTCGATGACATCACACTAGATGATTGGTTGAACGTACGACTTATGGAAGTTAAATGATCACGTTCAAAAACCTTTTAGGCAGTAAGAAACTTGAATTTAATAACAAAACTGCTACATTCTTTCCAAAACATATGTGAAAGAACAGAAGCAAAAAAGAGATGCAATATATTTTGGCCTAGTGACATTGCTGTAGTGACTCGTTTTAGTGTTTTATTGTGTCATTGTTTTAATGTGCTCTTATTATTCATGTTTTCTCTGCTTTTAATTGAGATTTTTATCCTTTGTTTTAGCTCCTTGTAATGGGTGTGTTTTGTTTTAGCCTGTGCAGCACTTTGGGCAGCTCCCATGCTGCATTTTAAATGTGCTATATAAATAAACTATGCTATGCTATGCTATGCTAGTGTGATGACATCATCAGCAAGTGCAGGATCCTGAGCAGATATCGGCAGCAGAAATATAGCATCGGCGTTGCATTCTCTCAGTGGAATTAACTGAAGGATCACCTGAGTCTGAGGAGTCACTCAGAGGATATATGTTTTCTGCTCCACAAGCAACAACATTTACTGTAATGTTTCTTTAAACTAGCGACAGTCAGGGCGATATAGTGTAAAAGCACCCTGAAATGTGAATACTGCCCTCTAGTGCCAGGAAACTACACATTGTCACTTTAAAAAATAAGTTCAAGCAAATTTTGATAATAGGTTTGGTCTTATTTGCCTAAAAAACAAACTGAATTTGCAGTATGGAAGAGATCCAGATAAAAGAAAATGTGAATTTTCCTCCAATCATTGATCAGACATACTAAATGCACCACAAGCATCTCAAAGTTCTCTCTAAGAGCACCAGAAAGTTTTCAAATCTTCACAAAAAAGTACATCTAGAAACCATTTTGCACAACTGAAACATCTCGTTGACCGATAGGTAATTAATATTAAACCAATGGTGATAAAATATGGATGATATTTAATATGCTTTGGGTCTGAGCAACAATCAGTGAGGTGCAGATAAACATCTAGAAAAACTGGGATAGGACAAGAAACGAGAGTAAATCCACCGTGAATGTAATTCATGCAGGGTGCTTTTCTGGAAGGATGGAGAAGAGTTTAGACCAAATCAATACATAACAATCCATTTGAAACCCGGCATGCATGTGATCATTGTCTGGTGCTGCAGCATTAACCTAGCAGATCAGCTTCTGGGTTCATAGGTCTTTTTTTTATTTTGGCACAGCTTCTGACTGATTTGTATTCAATTAACTTTAAAGATCCAGCAACCCCCCACAGGCCTTTGTTGTCATATAAATTGTTTCTGGTAGTTTTTCTAGTTTATCTCATGAACAAACGTCATGTTTTTGTCACATGAACGACACACAAAAGAGCATTTAAAGGAAAAAGGATGCTTTAGGGATGCATTTACTTTAGATAGTGACAAATAGGTGAATGCTACTTTTTTTTGCACTGAACTCTTTTCTTTAAAAAAAAAAAGAGAGACATTTTACGTTGTACTTTGATCTGAGACTGTCCTGCACGCTCTCCTGAAGCAAAATGAGCAAATTTCTCAGCTTTCTCACCTTGCACGACCTCTTTAAGCTGGACAAGAGCGTCTTCCTTCAGGGCATCGCAGCTATATTTCTGTCCTTTGTGCAGATTACTGCTTGAAACGAGGGAAGCAAACAAAAGGAAACCAGTGAATTTGAGTCTTTTTGATCCTCTCAGCCATAAAAAAATGAAATTACCCCGGTTGTGGGAGGACACATGTGGGGAAGAGCATGGCACAGGCAGATATGGCAAGCACTAAAACAAAACACACTTGATGTTTGAGTCCTTGCGGGGGAGGAAGGCGTGATGCATTTACACAGAGGGGAAAGTTTCTAACTTCCTGTCTTCCAGGGTCCACCATAGTTTCTGTTTCTCCTCTCTCTGCTTCAAAAGTGTTTTAATCACACATAAATGCAATTTTTTTTTTCATTTTGCAATTCATGCTCTGTCTTTAAACTTTGCCACTGTAATAAAATCTTCACAGAACAAGGACAAAACGGACAGAGAGCATCTGTACTGAGGGATTTGGGTGTCTGGCTTGGCCGTATTGGCTCACACAGAAGGATTTGGTGGAAAGTAAACACTGGCAGTGACAGAATATACCTGACAGACCTGACAGCAGATTAATTCCTCATCCATTTTTTAATGTGACCCCAGGATTAAGAACATTAGTGGATTATACTGAGATTTGTCAAACGGAGGGTCACAGTGGGACAGACGGCACCTGGGTGAGGACATGATGCACCCAAACCCCCAAAAAGCTGATGAATTATTTCTTTTTATTGCCAGGTAGGGCAGATTAAGGATTGAGTCATTCTGCTTGAATCTGCTGGAAAAAAATAATAAAAAGACATTTCTCCTCATTTTTACGCAGTAGTTTTCTCATTTTAGGATCCAACAAACCTGCAGCCCGTGGAATAATCCAATGCTTTGTTGTACTGCACCAGCTTCTTCTGCAGTTTGTCATTAATGCTAATTTGTCTGGACCAGGGTGCACTGCAGCAACAAAACAATTTTTGCTTGTGACATTTTTAATTTCCCTGCAGAGGAGACGATTCATTCTGATATTTACTGTTCGTTCAAACTTTCTCCACCCACTTACCTCCTCTGCATTCTCTAATAGCGTGTAGCTGCTACATGCAGCCCATCGACCCTGATAAATGTTTAAGTTCTGCACCATTACACGGCCAATAAAAATCAGCGGCTGGCAGGCCCTAATTGGACAAAGAGCTGTTTGCTGGCCAAGTGGGCTTGATGTAAGAGGTGCAGAGGA